AACCAATTGTCGAAGCCAGAAAGAGAAAAGACTGTATTCTGTCGTTTATGTGTTTTTCCTTCGATTGCTGTCGCTCACTCGCTTGAGCAACTGATGGAAAAAAGTTTGCCTCCGCGCTAAACCCTTCTTGCCGGCCACGCCTTATCATCTGCAGCGAACACGACTGTAATTGCGTTCCTTTGTGCACAGTTGCAGTCGCATATAACTGTTGCAGTGCTTGCACGAACGGCCAATTCGATGTCGTGAAACGACTGCTCGAGTCCGACTATGATCACATTTTGGTAAATCAGAACACTAAAGACACGGTGCTTCATGCCGCCGTATCGTCCCAGAATGTGGATGTGTTACAAATCGTGCTTGAGGTTCGGTTTGCACATACGGTGTGCTACAAAAAGCGTTCATGAACAAGTCGTTTAGGCATTCCCGGCTTTGATTGCAAATTCTAACTGCGATGGTTGTTCATGCCTTCACTGGGCTGCTGAAAGCGGCTCTACGGAGATCGTGAAGTGGTATGTCCTTGCATTCAATATTTCTTCTATTTTTAATACGGTTGATTCGATTTAAATATTGGTTCTTACATTTGATATTAGGTTGTTGTGACTCGCCATTCCTTGCCGTCTCGAAGAGAAAGCTCTCAGTTGCATATTGTGCATACTGGCGCTTAGTTACAAACCTATAGTCGCTAAACAGTTCTTAGCGTCATACAAAGCTAATACCATCAAAAGGAGAAAAAAAACAACCTTTGAATGGTGATGGTTGAGCAACTAGGAAGGCATCAGTACTGCCACTCATGCCGCAGAGCCTTCATTACTTGCTATGAGGCCGCGAAACGGGGGCAGTCTTTGAAACTGCGGTCCAAACTACTTGAAAATGAAAGGACTTCTAGGAAATAGTTGAACTGTCTCAAATGCCGTTAGAAGTTCATTGCCTTCGAGCACTTACACGTTCAACGTGGTGAGCTTAGCCGATATCGGCAGTGAACCGTAAGGCTGAAGGCTTTTTAAAAGTTTCAAGCTGTGATTGTTAGATGACTGCTGTTTAACGCCGCAGTGCGCGATCCGAAAGGAAAAAAAGGAACGCAACCGCCCGATAAGCGGAAGATGCGGCTTCGAATCCCGCCCGTGGTCCGACTTTTGCCCACAACTCAGCATCCTCATGATAACTTTCGGATTGTGCACTGCGGCGTTAAACAGCGGTTGAAACTTGAAAAAGCCTTCAGCCTTGCGGTTAGAAGTTCAAACATTCAAGTGCAGCTGCGAGTTCTCTGTTTTCGTTTACAAGTGCTACTTGACGTTGAGTCTAAGGTGAAGTACTAAAGTAAGCGAGCATTGATACTGATATATTTGGTTACTGTTATCTTTTCATGAAGATACATTTTCTTAATTGACATTCTTTTTTTTCTAAATCTGTTGAAACATGCCAGTTTCAGCCTTCTCGAATTCGAGTTTCCCGAGCAGTACATCAAAGAGATTGATTTGTTGTCATGTCCTCCTTACCGGTCCGCTATCGACGTAAATCACGGGGACAACGAATGCAGGACCGCGTTGTATCGAGCTGCCTCAAAAGGTCACACGAGCGTCCTCCAGTACATGTTAGCGGTGAGCAGCTTAATTCAGATAGTCTTGTACATGTGGTCGCATTGAATGGTGGTTTAATTCATATGAAATGACTCTTGAAGTACGTTTATACTTCGCGATTCGGTCGTTCTGACTGTACGATTGGTGCGATCGGTGCCAACCGTGTGCGATCAAAGCGACCAAATCGCGAACTATGAAGATCAGAAAATGGTTTTTCTGCAGTTTCGATGCCTGTTCACTGATGGCCAGATGCGATGTCCTTTTCAACTGGATGTGTACTGTAGTCGCGGCAGAACTCCTCTGATGGTCGCTGCCTACAATCAGTCCATTCCTGTACTTACGTACGTTGCTCATACGTTTTCACTCTTTCATACGGCTTTTGTCATTTATCTTGGTTTTACTGGAGCACTTATTCAAATAGATAGAACAAGAAATAGCTAGCATAGGAGAGACTCCTTTTTGAGAGGTGCCACAGACTCAGTTACTATTTAAAATCACAGTATTCGTAGGAGCGTGTTTGAAAAACGTAATGAGTTTAATTAATCGTTAGCCGTCAAAATCTCTATTCGTGCAGATGAGTGTAGGAGCAAACAATCTATTCCGAGGTAATGGGAGGCTTTTTGGCCGAGATTCAGTTTTCGTTTCGTGTACTCACTGGCGCCTCACTTGTCACCAGGTTCACTCCAACTAGTCTGGTTCAAAAGGCCATCGCTTCAACCTTGGGGCCACACAGTAAGTGAGCGTGTCATTTTGAAGCTCGATAAGTGCGCAATGTGAGTGGAGTGAGCAGAAGTTTATTTGCGAGGGCTCATTAGAGTGTAGGAGGATCGCAAGCAGCATGATATAAGGCCCAAGAAGTAGACTATCATGTCGTCTTCATATTCAAAAGAGAGGTTGTTCTCAGAAGTCCTCGGTATTCCACGCAAATTACCTACTTAAGAGTGCCCTGTAGAAGTGGGTTAAGAGCCCATTTGGAGAATTTCATCTCTGCTTTCCCTAGGCAAACAAATGATGCTGCAACTTTTAAAGTGCTATCGTAGTTTAGAATCAACCATTTAGCATCCTTACGCCCACCTTGTATGTAATAATCCTTAACGGAGCTGTGGATTGTACGTTGATTTTCAATGCCTCCAAATTTCATTCCGCTTTGAAGTCATTCCCTCATCCTTTTTTGGTATTAATTTAGATAATTGCATATTCAGTCGGGTAAACACAGGAAAGTGACTTCTATGAATTTTTAGTTTTCAAAAATGTTAGACTGAATGAAACGCTCAAAGATGGGAGCTCGCTGGATAATAGTTGGAAGTTTCAGCCTCCTGTTAGACGCTGGTGCTGATGTGAATCTGCCTCTGGCGATTCTGGATTCAGAAACGTGCGAGGAAGCTCGATGTGTTGGTGAGGAGTACCTGTTACGATTTCCCTCTCTTTTTAGGTTCATTCAACTGTGTTTCAGTTACTGACTTCTTTTCATTAAGTTCTTTGAGCTGATGCTGATTACTTACTTGGTTACATTGCAAAGTTTGTTTTTTAATTTTGGGAACGCGGGGTTATACGAGCGGACGTGGTCAAACAAAACATCATGCAACAGTAGTACTAAACTTGTTTTAACATGATTCTGTTTCTCGCCAAAGTTAGCTTGCGAAAAATCTCCTAGGGTTCTTATTTCTGAGTTAAAGGATCTGACTCTAGGCAAGGCTCTAACTTCCCGTCATTCTTATCGAGCTACTGTGCTTACTTTTGCCCCACCATGAGCGCCTTTAATTTTCTCATTCTAGAACTTTTGTGTTCTAGCGCTACTTTGTCAATCAATGATGCCTAGGTTCTGGTGCGCTTGTGGAGGCGACACGATCCGATGCGATTCATATTGTACACTTTCTGCATGACCGAGGAGCACTCGATACTGACAATCGAGCTTTGCGCCTAGCTGCTAAGGTCAGACGTAGTAACATTTGCATTTGCTACTCCATTATAATCAGATTGGGCTCATTTTGGGCCAAAAATAGTATTAGGTTACAAACTCATGAGGTAGTATTTCAGAATAATAACCTCAAATTAATACGGGTCTTTTTAACACGGCTTGTTTATCCAGATCCAGAATATAAAGTGAACAAAAAGAACATCGATGTTGGACAGGTAATTGTTAACTGTACTTGTTTGCTTGGTTCATACAGTATCGTTCGCTGCGGTTTAAGGGGCGTGTCAGGCGAGGTGGATTTGGCGCATCGCCAAACCACCTCTAAACCACTTGTTGAAGCGGGTAAGTGACAGCAATTTGTGGAGAACAGCTGGTACGAACAACGTAATGCAGTTGTGTCGCTGCTCCAGTAAGGACTGAAGAAAAAGGGTTTGGCGTTGCACCAAATTCATCCTGCTGGCACGACGCCCCTTCATCCACAGCGAACAAGACTGACTTCGTAATTTGGTACATAGTTTACCGTTGGATTGTTCTCATAAAGGACTTGTGAACCGATCGATCACTGTCAGAAACCGTCATTGCACTTTTGTGTGTAATCTCAGCTCAAAACATATAATGAAGCACTCGATGTGCAGATTCAAGTGGGTCAGAACTTACTGCCCTCGTCGTTGTGTCCCTCCCGAGCTGCAATGCTGAACTGGAACTCTGCTTCGCTGGATGCATTAGAGTCTGACTGGTTCATCGCAGCTGCTCTTCAAATTAATCCTCGCCTTCGTACTACTAGGTGAATTCAGCATCGGTACGCTTCTTATCAAAAATCAACCTCATTTTGCATCAGGTTGTCATTGGCTGCTATAACACGGGTTGATCTTTCATGTAACCGACTAACAGTGTTCCCATCAATTCTATTCCAAATGCCTTCTCTCAGGTTTGTTTTAGCACCATGGCGTTGAGACTACGAATGCTGCTCACAGTCCTTTTTAGATCTCTTAATCTTGCCGAAAATCTCATAACTTCCATTGACATGCCTGGTTTTTATGTCACTTCCACGTCACTTGAGATTCTGAATCTCAAACAAAATCGATTGGAGTCACTTTCTCCCCAGGTTAGTATTCAGAATTTTTCCTTGAATTGGGTTGAACAGCATCTGATATAGTCATTTCAGTTCTTGTCCTCATTGCCTCAGCTAACAACACTCGACATCTCTCGCAACTGCCTGAAGCCAGTTACCGGAATTCATCTGGTTATGTCCTTCACTGAAAGAAATCAACGCTTCATCAAATCATCTTTCATCACTCCCTATGGTTGGCAGTGCTGCTAGAATAGGTCGTATGACTCGAGGAACTCAACAATCTGCAACACCTATCAGCCCCACCAAAGCTGAATCAAGTAGGTGACTTGTTTGAGCTTTTTCGCCCATGTTCTAATGTCTAGACTGTAGCTCTGTGTAAAAACTTCTGACCAGGAAAGCTCAACAAGTCAGCCCGGCTATTTTCAATGATGTGCTGCGCACCGTCGTACGCGTCTTCAGGCGGTGGACTCAAATCTGTCTTCATTTGCGAACGATTCTCTGAGCGGAGATTATGGGATTCATCCCCGCGTAGTTGTTTTACATGCTATCGCGAGGAAACGTGGAAGCGTCTTTACATAAATGTATGGAGTCCTTCTGAAACGTGGTAGTAGAGCGCAACGGGTAGGAGCGGGTTTCCTAGGCGAGACGTCGTAGGATCGGTTCCGGCAGGTCGCGTCTCTCTTGCATTTGTCCAAGAACATTGCCGACAAAGCTTAATATCTCTGCTCGCTTGCACTACATTGTAGGGAACGCTTGTAAGGGGGACCCTGCGATCATTTCTTTCTGAAAGTGTAAACCCCTGTAGCCTGAAAGAGTGCTTGTGCTTGCCCCCCGTAACACATGTCACAAGGGTTTTGCAATGAAATACCATGATATTCATGTTCAGCGGGTCAAATTACCTCTGGGGACAAGTTTCTAGCCGAATCTGATATTTCGACCTAACTTGGAAAATGTGGGCTATTCTATGGGTAATTAGCAGCAGACTGGGTCCACCCACCATCGATGACTGGTCTCGGGATGGAATTTCCTCCTAGTAATCAGGAAAATGATGCAGACGGCACGAATGAGTGAGCCAGGTATTGTTCTTCGCGAAAAGACATGACTGAAGAGTTATTTCAGCTCGAAGACCAGTCATCACCAGTAGGCTAGTCGTAGTATCGCTGTTGGCTACCAGTCAGCCATGGCTATCTAAACTCCCATTTTGTCGAAGTTGAGTCAGAACCTCAGGTCGTTATTTGACTCCCTGAAGACGAATATGGAAGCGCTGTGTGTTCGCTACAGCTAACGCTTCGGCACCAGCGCACCCGCAAGACAAAAAACGGTAAAGAAAACCTCGCTCAGAGAATCGTTCCGCAAATTTTGAAGATAGTTTTGAGTTCACCGTCTCAAGGCGAGTACAATGATGTGCATCTCATTGCAAATGGCCAGGCTGACCTGTTGACCTTTTGGGTGAGAGCAAATTGAAGGTGAACGTGACCACATGTCACCTCGTTCAACTTATGATAAATTTACTAGGCCTTCCACACTTTCTCGAAAAATGAAGGTAAGAAGTAAGAAGTAGAATACAGTAGAACAAGGAAAATATTTGTGCAAACGTGTTTGTTACAAAGTATTATTTTGATTATATTATAATATAATCAACTCTTTCACAACAGAATTTCCTCCTTCCCTTACTGAAGAGCACAGAGGAGGGAGAATGACCTCGTTCAGTTTCCGTCTAAGGGCACGTGCGAAACGGAAACTGAGCTACTTCTTTGGATTGACCCCCTTAATAAATTTAGCAAAAATAGTTGAGTAAATTAAAATTTAAAGTGACTTTGAAGTAATTTTCAACTTTGGAACAAGTGCAAAGAATTTCTTAAGACTCAATCTTTTCATTTTATCTTATTATGACACATTTCCCAACCACCTTTTGGTACTTTTTATGCTGATTTTTGAAAAATGTCAGTGGTCCCTGTTCACGAACGTGCTGCTCTTGGTTCATTGATATCAATTGCAAGCGTTGAAAGTGGTACCAGGTACCATCATAGGGGAGTGGACCACCCATAGGAAAGAGCAGCAAGGAGATTTCATGTCAATATGTTCTCGTGTAACCCATCATTGACGAACCTTTGCGAAGCTTGAAAGCATCACGGTCACATTGTCAACTCTTCGCCTTTGCAGTAAGTATCGGTGATGCCATTGAGGAGCCGTCGAATGTGCTTACCAAACCGCTGATCCGGCAAAACGTGTGGCAGTCCGTAATCAATTTATCCAAGGTAATCCTAAACTATTATGAACAACTTGCTTTTCATTTACTACTGTGTTGAAAAAGACGAAGGCCATCTTACTGAAACCTATATTGTGTTTTCCCAGGTGGATGATGACAGCTTCTTTCCTGATTTTCCCGTGACATCGTCGAGTACGCTTACGACGTTGAATCTCTCTGCAAACAGGGTGTGTCTTTACGAGAGATTCTGGATTTTCTGTGTCCATGGAAAACATTCTTGAATGGCTTTGTGTTCTTCTTCCCTTACGTATGAATTAATTTCAGTTCCAAGTATTCCCGTTTTGCCTTGCATGTACATGCCCACGTCTGTTGTCTCTGAACATGAGCTTTAACCAGCTGGTATCGCTACCTCCAATTCAATGCATTCCTGCACACGTGCGGAATCTCGACTTTTCCGGCAACCTTATCAAGGTGGGTTCTGACTTTTGCAACGCTGTCTGTCTTTTCCTTCACAGGAAGAATCTCCTCACTGCTCACATTTCTCAATGTTAGTCGTTGTTATGAATGATTGATCAGACTATCTTTTCTTTCGCTCTCACATGCCATGCTGCGGTGTTAGCGCAGAGAAAGGATAAGGTATACGTCCCACTGTTGAGCTCCTCAATAAGTCGGCGTTCAGACTTTGCGATGACGCACGACAAACGTGCTGTAACGTTCGTCGATGCGCTACAATTGCAACAGCACTCAGTGCTATAGACACGAACGCAGCCGTTGACGGGAATCGATCGGTGCCGACCGCTTGTGTTTTGAGAGAGTGGAGTATGGGGAAATAGGAGGGTACCATGCTGGCGCGCGTTACAGCGCATCGACGCATGTTAGCGCGAAGTCTGAGCGATGCCGAAGGGAAACGTTTTTTGATCTGTTCGTCCTTCAAGATATATAAATGCCAAACGTGCATTCCCAATGCAGGCCAAACTCCGTTCACGGAGTGAGCTGACCATTCAAGGATTCATTATCCTCCAAATGTTTCTATTGAGTGTTACCTATTTCTTTTTGCAGGAACCGTTCCAATTGCCTTCAATTGTACATACAGTTTGTCATGCTGTGACTCCATCAACAGACTCAACGACAATTGCAGTTCGTCGGCCAAGAAGTCCTGCTAGGCAAAATCGTAGGTTTCATTGAGGTCACAGAGGGAGCAAATCGCAGCTTAAAAATTGTTGAGTTCTTTTTCCAGGGAGCAGATCAAAGTCGGCTGTGCGTTCTCAGCGATCGCTTTCTGTTTCTCGGCATCAGCCTGACATTCAGTTGGAGGAAGCTTGTCAGCACAAGCAACATGATACATTAGAATGGCTAAAGACCCTGAATATCAGTACCAATCAACTGGAATCTATTCCTATAAGTAATCAAAAATAAGGTTCGTATGGGGAGCTTCATAAATTCTTTGGCCCTTGTTTGATTATGTATGAAGAGGGCTTCAAGCCCTCTGCGAAATCATAGCCATCGGTGTTTTAGTCCTGTTACGTGACCAAACGCTTTTTTTCCATTTGGAAATGTGCTCTTCAGGTGCTTTTTCCAAACCTGAGCGTCCTAGATGCTAGTTCCAACATGATAAAAGTGATCAATGCTGATATATCACGATTGAGCAGTTTATCTGTGTTGAATCTGTCAGGGAACAAAGGAATTCAAACATTACCCCCAGAACTCGGAATGTTATCACGGTAAGCTCTTCGTCGTGATTTTCACGGTTCCGCACCCTTTTGTACGATGTCTAAGCGCGACGAGACCGTGTTAGTATATGAGTCAGAATTACTTTCAGGTTGTGGTCTCTTTCATTGAAGGGCTGCCAATTGAAGGAGCCGCTGGACTCGATGGTGAACACGGAAAATTGCAAAACTGTTGAGATTGTAGCTCATTTGAAGACCATTCTGGAAGAGTAAGCCATGATTATTTAATTAAGCTCTTTGCTTCACACCTGCTGTTTACTACAAATCATTTTGTTTTCCTTTGAAAAAAAGGAAGAGTCGCGCTGCCTTGAGGTTTTACAAGCAGCGCTACCGTTGACGTGTTAATGAATCCCTCTACATCTTGAAGACGAATTCCGCACTCACCTCCGTGGGTCCTTTTCGGGAGGTGGATGGATTCGAACTTCAGTGGTACATCCTCTACTCAAAGGGGCACTGGGACGGGGCTAGAAGGTAGTGATGCCCGGGTGCCTTGACATCGCCTGCGCTACAGCACTATCGGCCACACGCCCAATCATAGTCAAACGCCTTAGTTGTCTGCGTCCTCCCCTTTCGTTGTTCTCCATCGTTAAGTGTGTGTTTCGCTTCGCGATCTTGGTACCGACGCAAGCGCTGCATACTGTGATTAACGTGGGCGGGACAACATCCGGTAATCACTACCCTCTGACCAAGATGGGTGCTGAGGACTTGGGTTTTGACCCTGTTTCGTAACATTTGAACGATGGTTCAGTGAGAATTCTCGTCACGCTTATAGGAAAAAAAGAGCGTGAGCCAATGACCATACCCAGCGCTTACAGAGAGTAGAATATGCCACTCAGCCCCCGCCCACTCGAGGCTGATCTCGATGGGGGGGGGGAGAGAGCTACATCGAAAAAGGGGCGTCGTCGACGACCCCCTCCAGCCCCGCTCTCTGCGCTTCTGACACCGGAGAGTGGCATGCTATAGCTGCGGAGCAATTCACTTCACATCGTAGAGAGGACACTCCTCGGAAATGGGTGTACAGTTTGTCTTTGAGAAAACGTTTGAGTCTGCTGTCACGCCCGTGCTTTGCTGTAGTTATGTCACGAGAACTCAAGGATATCTTACCGCAACCACATAGAATTAGTTTCACGTCGTCAAATTTCATTAAATATATGTCGTTCTTTTCTTCTAAATAGTGTGTCTAGTTTTGAAAGATACTTATTTTAGGTCCAAAACTTACCATCACCTCCGACTTCTAATTTTGGGAAGCGATGGTGTCGGAAAAAGTCAACTGTGGGACGGTCTTCGTTCAGAAGCTGTGCAAAAGAAATCTCCATCTCAGGTGATTCCATTGATATTTTCAGCTTTTCTCAAAGTGTACGAGCCTTTGGGCATGGATACGGGGTCAAATTGTAGATGTAGTCTTTTCTAAGGCGACCATGGCTTTGAGATTGATTAGTTGGTAGCTAGAATCGACAGTTTCTTCTTAGTAAGCGCCATGTAAAGGTACGATCCATGACTAGTTCCCTCTTGAACTGGTGGCGCGGTTGGATTAGTGATTTCGTAGAGCAAGAGCAGACGAAAAATTTCGCTCAGTGTTCTGATTTTAATTGCGAAATCGACAATACTACAGTGAGCAAGAACATTGCAGGGTGAAAGCGTTCGCATAGCTGAGTGGAAGTTTGAAGCAAAGAAGCAGAAAGGCGAGGCTGCTCTTGGTCCGATCGGCTTCTCCGCATGGGACTTCACCGGCCAAGTACAGTTTTTCGTGCTAGATTTGCCAACATTTCGTTATTGTGCTTCTCGATAAATCTGCGAAGTCCAACTTTCAGAGGGAGTATCATGCCACGCACCATTACTTTCTCACCCGTCGAACGCTTTATGTTGTTGTTTGGAGGGTGATTGATGGGGATCTGGCCCTTCATGATGTCCAGAGATGGCTCATCAACATCCAGGTAGGCTTCCTGAGCGTACTCCTAAAAAGCCGTTCTTTCAAACTATATCTGTATTTTACAGGCTCGAGCTCCAAACTCATGTGTCGTTTTGGTTGGAACTCACACCGATCAAATCTCCTCAAATCCAACAAAGTTCTCTCACGGCTTTCTTGAAGAAATGGAGAGCAAAGTAAAAGAATTCATGAAAACATTGCGAAAATCCCATTCTTTCCAATAACAATTCTTCGTTTGAGATTCGGTCGCGGTTCATGATTGTTGATGCAGACAAGCACGGCTTACCCCGTGTTCTTGACCTGGTTTTGGTTAATGGCAAAGCAAAAAGTGATATCAAGGTGAACTTCTTGGATTTCTTCACTACATACCAGCAATCTTTAAAATTTCAATTTTCGTTCAAATCTTATCCAAAGAATAATTTATCTCAATTGACGGTTGCTTTCAGAACCTTTTGAATGTGATCTACACCTCTGGTTGGGAAGTCAGAATTGGCAAGGAACGTGCACTAGATCAGCAAATTCCATCCGCCTACATAGCAATGTTAAAAGTTAGCAGCAGTTTTGAAATCTTGACTATGTTGTGCTTGTTCTGCATTTTAGAGCGAACTTCTAGCTTATACATTTTCGCACTGGTTTTTTTATTGGTGAGCTCTACGAGCTTTAGGTGGTCCGCGAATTGCATGTTGAATTACGAAGGGATACAACATCGGCGATAATGACAGCCGAGCAATTTCGCGATCGGACAAAACAACGAATGGTTTCTAAGTTTGGAAGAACATTTAGGTATTTTTTTATTCACACCTCGCTTTGATTTGATTACAGGACTCTTGTCAACCGAACACGCTCTCACTGAAAGGGTCTAGAGGTATTTTCTCATCGCATCTACTAGCCCCAGCAGTAGAAGGGAGAAGAAAAAGGAGGAGGAAGAGGGAGAAAAGGAAGGAAAAAAAGGAGTGAGGAGAAAGGGAAGAAGAGATAGGCTCCATGGTTGACAAGTGTCTTGAGACGGCACCAACAAGTGCAAGTGGGAACTCGTCCGACCACGCCCTTCTTTTGGCTTATGCATGTGTAAGCGCGGTTCACATACCTGGTCAGTAGAGTGGACGTTCCTGAGCTGCCACCTTGATACTGTATCAAGTGCCTCTAAACCTGCTACTTATAGAGATGACATTGAATTTCGCGGCGTTTGTGGATTTCTACATGATAGCGGCGAAATTGTTCACTTCGAGGATGCTGCCTTAAGACAGCTGATCTTCGTGGATCCTCTTTGGCTTGCCGATTATCTTGCTGCCATCGTTGCATTGAGGTTCGAACGCTACTGAAGATCATTCTAATGTAATTCAAAAAGTTGGAAGCATCAGTGAGTCCTGATTCTCCATTCCAGGTCTCCTCATCGCGCAGCCGGTCTTCTTTCTCAGGATGCACTGGTGCCCTTGATAAAACAGTTTCGATGTGTTGACTACGGTGCACCACTTCGTGGATCTCTGTTGGATCTGCTGCAGAAATGCGAGCTGGCACTTCCATGCCTTGCACGGTTGCTTGTTGTACCCGCTCTTTTGCCTGATGAGTATCGACTCAGAGCTGACTATCATGCCGCTTGTGTGAAAGTGAGTTCGAAATCCATAAAAACAGTCGCGACTTCACAAGAATGTCAGGCTATGGGTAAAAGTCAGACCCCGGCGGGACTAGAGCTGGCACCTCCTCCTGACCTGGGAGTGCGCTATTCATTGTGCCACTGGGGCTGCTCTTACTCTCTCAGCTCAGTGACTTGTATGCCGTAACCTTACATTTCTCACACATTTGACCTAATTAGTCGGTTGGATGATATCGGCAGTGAAGAGCGAGGCTGAAGGCTCTAACAACGACAGCAGAAAGAAGTGTGAGTCTGAAAGGTCATGGTATTAGGTTGGCTAATAAGTAATGGCCGTTTTTTTCAATTGAAAAATTTGTTCGAAAAGTGAAACGTTTTGCAAGCAAGTTATATATCATCTGATAGGGTTCGAAAAGTGAAACGTTTTGCAAGCAAGTTATATATCATCTGATAGGAAACTTCTCGTAGTATAAGAATATCAAAAAAGCTTTGGTTGAGGATATAGTTTTTGTGAATTTTTTAGTCGTTGAAGTTGGAAGTGAAGTCGAAGTGAAGTTAGGAAGTGAAGTCGGCGAAAATTAGCATCTTCGACAACTGCCTCTATTTAGAAATTTCATGCTAATAGTTGAATTAATTGAATTTGATTTGATATTCTAATACTACGAGAAGTTTGCTATTAAACGATATTAAGCTTGCTTGCAAAACTTTTCACTTTTGAAACAAATTTTTCAATTGAAAAAAACGGCCATTACTTATTAGCCAGCCCACTAGCAGTTATTAGCCAGCCCACTAGCAGTGGGCTGGCTAATAAGTAATGGCCGTTTTTTTCAATCGAAAAATTTGTTCCAAAAGTAAAACGTTTTGCAAGCAAGCTTAATATCGTTTAATAGCAAACTTCTCGTAGTATTAGAATATCAAATTCAAATTCAATTAATTCAACTATTAGCATGAAATTTCAGGTGGAACAGACGTGAGCCTGCCCAATATTGGCAAGGTGAAGGTTGCCAACTTTGAAATTCTTGAAATTAGTTCCAAAGCGTCCTATTGAGCTTAAGCGATTTTAGCACTTCGAGTAGACGTAAATAGAGGCAGTTGTCGAAGATGCTAATTTTCGCCGACTTCACTTCCAACTTCAACGACTAAAAAATTCACAAAAACTATATCCTCAACCAAAGCTTTTTTGATATTCTTATACTACGAGAAGTTTCCTATCAGATGATATATAACTTGCTTGCAAAACGTTTCACTTTTCGAACAAATTTTTCAATTGAAAAAAACGGCCATTACTTATTAGCCAACCTAATACAAAGTCATTGACTTGAAAGGATAAGAGCGGCCTCACTGGCATAATGGGTAGCTCACTCGCCCGTTCAGCAGTATATAAAGGTCCGAGTCTTCCCAACGTCTAAGTTTCATCTAAAATCCAGCGTTCTTGTGACAACATTCGGAGCGCGAACTGCGGTGTAAACAGCAGTTATCATGATAAACAGTCACAGATCCTATCGAGACTTGTCTATCTTTAGTTGCTGTTTTCTTCAACAATATTCAATGAGTACTCGATATGAAATTTTCATTGGTAAGCTTTCGCTGTGGTAACAGCTTCTTCAGACCTCAAATAAAACAAGCATACATAGTACTTCAATTCCTTACAACAATCAAGCTGATCAAAGTACTAACCAGACTGGGCTCCCTCTTAACAATATAGTCGCCTACACTCCTTTACAAACCATCATATGTTAACGACCTACCCCTGACCGACCTCCAATGCAACTAAAAGTCCCTAAGAATGCGACATGCGTGACAATCGCTAGGACTTCTTTATCACGACCGCTATGCAATCAGCCTCATTGCCTCCATCAGCTCGTCCCTGTTGTTTATTTCGGGGGATAACCGCTTGATAGCGATCGCCTCGAGCAATTTCCTTTCCAATGGGCTTTCCTTCGAGCGGTGCAAAACCGTGACTTTTAGGCGGGGAGGGGCTTCTTGTTGATGAAAGATCGTGCGATGCCGCGAGAATCCGCTTCTGGGGTAAGACGAGGGATTTCGCAAGGCTCGCACGTGTTCGTCCATCCTTACATATAACGGTCGTATCGTTTCTCCAAC